GCAAACATCGATCACATAACAAGAGACTACGCCCTTTTTCAGAACTCATACATGCTTTTCCTATGGTCTCAGACAGTCCAAGAATAAGTAATCTTGAACAACACAACACTCCCAAATTTTTTGTGCTGACCTCATTTATACCGGCGTCTGCAAGCATAGTGAACCTACTGAGTTTTGTTTTTTCATCATGTCTGTAGGAGTAATGTTACTTCTGATGTTAGAAAATGCAAACTTGTGTAACGTTATATCACAGGCATCTTTGTGACAAGATAATATTTGAATTACCTAAATAAAGCTCAGCGTAAGTTCAATCAGGAAGACTTTCTATGTGCTCACCCTTTCACAATTCTCTCCCTCCCACTCCCACTGCTTCCTCTAATCAGTTGACTATGGGTGTTCACTCTTCTAGTTATCCAATCAAACATCGCCACAATCTCTCTCAGCCAATTAGGATGCTACTGCAACATTTTAAATCTGCTCTCTCCTCTGCTGCTGTCAGATGTCATTTTAGGCAGAATCGTCTCGCCCTTCTCGGTTGTATCACCGCCAGCCATCGCATCCAGAATCCAGGATGAGCTCAACAAAGGCTCATTCCTCTACTCATCCAGATCATCAGCACTTCTCCATCCTCTCCTCATCTTCTTCTCATCTCATCTTCACCACCTCTTCCACCACCGTCAGCGTCTCCTTAAATCACACCATCTCAATGGGGTCTCATCGCCAAACACTTGTCACATGTTTCATTATTATGTGCACATGTTAATAAACATTCTTTTTACTATAAAAAAAAGAGTTTTTCCTGATTGCTAACAACGATGTTTAGCAGATATAATGTTTGTGTGTGCCAAATTTCATGGCACAGCATCCACACTGATATTTCAGTCTGGATCAAAGCAGTGGAGCTACTCACCGCCATCCCTGAAGCCACACCACTGTACGGCTAACAAAAAGCCCAACCTATGTTATACCCATACAACAGCTCAGTAATTACGTAACATGACATCCATTTACCACAATACTTCATACAGTGTTTCCTAAACTACACATCAGGCAACAGACTCACGACCAAAGTTATTCACCTCTAGAGATATTTAATACGTATTGATGTTACAGAGCTGCTTCAGTCACTGTCTGCCGTATAAAACTTAGATACTGTACAAAAATGTAAAAGGACTAAAATGCAGGTATGTTGAAATTTGATTTGGACGCGCCCTTTAATCTTATAATTTACAATATGTGCAGCTTAGTTGAGCAGAGAGCTGCGTTAGGCATGGGAGCACATCGTTTTTCTACTGTGTGACTGAGTGTAATTTCAACTTTTCAGTTAACAGTTAAAAACTGGATTACATCTCCTGTCATTCACATCAAACTTTAGTTACTGTGCCTCCAGCTCAGTAGTGGCTTTTTTGATATTCAGAGGGAATGCCACTACAACTGCGTTGCATTGTGGGATATACTATAGTATTTCACTGGAAATGGTATACAATTCACTTACCACTGATTTCAAATCTCACATAATGTTTAAGCCTGCTGCATCGCATGTTAATATGGAATTTCAGATGCTGCTTTATTTCTCTAGTTTCTGGCTTTGAGTGACTTGAATTTTTTAATTTAGGTGGTGTTCCCCGTTAAATCTTTGACTCTGCCTGAGCATTAACCTCTTTACATCAGTGCTTCTAAAACACACTACATCTATTCTGATTGCGGAACTTTACTTTAAAGCAAATAAACAGGTTGGCATTTCAGGATGAGTGAGATGAGCGAGACCTGTGTGGCAGCAGAGGAAGCAGGAATGCTGCTCTAACCTGATCCTAATAGTTGCAGCAGCTAGTTACAGTTACTCAACATTGTAAAACTTCACATGAAAGCTATTAAAATCACCTTACCCAGTGAGACAGGAATGGGCTGTTCACATTCAGTTTGACTTGGAGGCTATGAGGGATTAACAGACAACTGTGTGTGTGTGTGTATGTGTGTGTGTGTGTGTTGACAGCGGGAGTCTATACATTTTTGACATTCCTCAGCTCTGTGTGTAAAGAGATGAGCCAAGGGTCAAACATGCAGTAAAAGAAAAGATTATAGTCAGAGCTCAGACTGATGGACGGAGGGAAAGTTGACAGAGAGAGGGGGTGTTTTAAAAGGAAAGTGACGGTGAACAGGAGAAGGCGTGTGTGTGTCTGTGTGTGCGTTGTGTGGCATGTGCAGCGTGCATGAAGCCAAATATAAGATGGCATTCAGAGCAAATGTGTGTGTTTAAATACTTGTATATACTTAAATTACAGTCAGGGTTATTTTTAATACAGCAGTAAGTGTGGGTGCATATTTCTTTGTGCGTGCTTGTGTGCAGATATGCATGCCTTCATGTTGCTATGTAAATACAGAGCATGTGAAGACACACCGTGCAAGTCTCTCCAGTGAGTGTGTGTCACTATGGTGCGTTAGTGTGACTTTAAGTGTGTGTGTTCTTATATAATCCTGTTGTATCAGCCAAACTGGCAGAGCTGTTATTGACATGACACACACTCCCAGCTGTCTGCGTGCACACATACCAGCATCACTTTGTATTTGGGACACAAACTGTACAGTAATGATATTTCCATATTGCGACCTAAATGTTTGTGTTCAGATGCTCAAACAGAAACTTTAACCCCACTCTCCACACATATGTGAAGACATGTTTGTCTAGTTTGAGAGACGATTCAATCATCTGGAAACAAACTATAACTTTAACAACCACTGCCATGAGAACACTGATACAAAATATTCCGCCTTCCTTCTTTTCTGAGTAAACACATAGTTTGTAACCATCAGGGTTGAACTCGTGTATTGTCTTCAGGACAGATGAAATGGCTGACTGCCAAATGCTGTGGAGATACTGAGCAACAGACACACGTACATAAGACATGAAACCTGTTTCCTAATCATTTTCCAAAATCTCCCCAGCAGGGCCAGGTGACATTCTGCATTCTTTAGACGGATCTTCTCGTCATTAATGTCTTACTCATCTGCTGCAATTATCTTCCATTCATTACATTACACTGTGAGACGAGATGGTTCTGACGGGCAGTTATTAAGTGAGTGGAATAAAGAGAGGCCTTTATGTGCTGCTGCTGACACTCATACTAGTAGACTAGTCGCTCTTAAAGGTGCTCATATTATTCATCAAAATAACATGAAAACCATTAAACTTTTAAACCATATATCTACTTAAAATTGACAAATAGTCCAGTTAGTTTTGTGCCATAAATCTATTTCCAGGGCTGTCCCAAATGTCATTTTTTTTCCATTTAAAGCTTCTATTTAGGTTTACAAGCTTTGAATGTCTGTCGTCGTTTTTTATGACGCCATCACCCTAAAAAATACATTAAAAATTCTCTAACAAAATCCTCAATTTGAGTAAAGTGATAAATCAGATTAAATTAGTTAGTTCTCTTTAAATTTAACCAAGTTTCTTTCATGAATAAATGTAATTTACAGTGCTGTTAGACTGCTGCTTCACCTCTCAGTTGATACAGGTGCGTGCCTCCTTTTGTGTGCAGGAAGCGGGAGAGCAAACAGTTTTTTGACCACAGTGAAAATATTGTTCTTTAAAAGGCTAGACACTGTTTTGATGGTTTGAACTTTGGAATGGATTACATCTTACTTTTTCAATAAATTTTTCCTTGTGACTTAAAAATGCTCTGGAGTTATTGGAAATGTTTGGATCACACAACATACGCAGTCATCTCTGGAGTCCAGGGTCCCGACCACACAGAAAGCGTTTTAGCAGCTGGAGACGGCTTTTTGAAATTCTTTTTAATGAGAATGAAGCTTTTTGCTTGCTGTATTTGTGTTGCTATGCACCTCGTGTTTCTGCGCTCAAGGTGGCTGACGTTTTTGCCGGAGCGCTCTGAACTCCTCCACTCTAAGCTCAAGTTTTTCAACAGAAAAGCGCCCCAGGTTATCTCTGATTGGATGATATGAGAGGCGGGCCTTTTGTGGTGGTTGTGACAATAAGTTTACAGTTGCTAAATAATGGAGGAGAAACTGGCGGCAGCAGTTGCTGGATACCCAGTGCTATACGGCCCGACGATAGACAGCAGGTTGTCAAACTGCCCCTGAGTCGTCCTAAAATATGTCTGGAAACAGCCATCATCGAGGTGAAGCTCCTGGACCAACTGGTGGTACTCCCCATGATCCACCCTCTCTTTAGAGTCTCATGTGCCCACACAGATCTCCGTTTCTTTATGTCCAACAAACTATTTGCTGACAGCCTCTCACCCTCAACCAGAGCTACAGCGAGTACCCTCTGACTGTGCGATCGGGGCCTGACTCCACAAATAGTAGAATACTGTTAATATTGGTGTAGCCCAATGTTTATCTGCAAATGTGCAGACATACCAGTTTAAACAGAATAAACAGACATGCAACAAAAAGTTGATTTAGAATTTGAATGCCAGTGTTATCAAAGAAGCTTTGGAGCTTCAAACTATTAAATACTTGCCTGGCTATTTCTGTTTGTGCTGTAAAGCAACAAACCAGATTTCATTTCAAATCCAACCCAGTGACACAGACATTCTCAAAAAAATGTGAAGATGGAGAATGCTCCAGGCTGTCAGTTGTTGATGTTTAATATGAATATAGTAATTAAACTAATTAGCCTGAAAATTAAAATCCTAAAAACTCATTGATGTTGTGTTGTTATGTATAACCTACTAGTTTATGGCACATAAAAAACTCATGAAATCACAGGTGCACTGAGCAGATGACAGATGTGTTGACAGGTTACAGCCTGCGTAGAGAATTCTCTTGCTATGAGCCCTTTGCTGAGCGTGATGAGCAACTGCACTACAGCATAACAGCAGAAACAACATCAGGTTTTGAATGGCAGTTGACCTGTCCTTGATAAGCTTCATATACGTGCTCCACATGCAAATGTACGAGAGAGACAGAGAGAGGAAGTGCAGAGATATGAATTAGCACTTGGTAGCATGAGTGGTTTTCTCTGAAGCGTCTCTTACCCAGCTCTTCTCGGAGGTTTGCCAGCTCCTGCGTCAACCCTTTCTTCTGCTTCAAGGCCTCCTCGCGCTGCACAGGAGAGAAGATGAAAAGACTTAAGTCAAACTCAAATAGGACCAGAAATTGGTAAATGCGCGCACACACACACACACACACACACACACACACACACACACACACAGGTACAGTGTACACTATAAAAGGTTTGGGACAACACCGCAAAACAGCAAACACATCATGTAGTGAACTATAAAGTGAGCGGTGCATGATTGCAAAGAGATCTGCCATTCTGTGTTTTAGAATCTGTACTGATCACAGTTAAGTGATGCAATCAGCGACTTCAAAGATAACTACAGGACACTTTTGTAGAGGTCAGGTGAGGTTAGAGACAAGACTTTAAGTAGGAATGTTATTATACAGATTAAAGAGCTAGCGGTTTACCAAACATTAGAGAAAGCTTCTGAAAGAAGGGCGACCAGATCCTATCTGGTCTTAGAACAATCAAGAAAATAACAAACACCCATCATGGCTGAAAACACCCATTATACTGCTCACAGCTGCAGCTGTAACTGACCTGAAAAAGTAAAGAAATTGCTTTTAAAGGTTAACTCCAATAAAAAATTATAAGATATGATGTTATGAAGTCTGTCTCAGTGTTTTTATAACCATGCTCTGAGACATCAAGGGAAGCCTGTTATATACAAAACTTTATATACATTTCACTCTTCACATCTAACACTGTAAGGCTGCTGACACCACACCAACACACACACACTTGTAAACATGTGGACCAGCACACGTGATCCTGATGAGCGTACCAAAGTGCACTGCTGCACTCCAAAGAAGAACATTATGATCCTTTACTCCCACATCTGAATAAATTAGTCTACCATAACATTCACTCTTTCCGGCATACACAGTGAAATCTGACTGCAGCCGCCTCCTCCTGTCCTGTCGCAGATGACAGGAACAACCCCCACCATTTTTTGCAAAGTAACTTAGTGAGTGCTGTGTTGTCCTGTTTGTGAAATCAGTGGCTATCCACTCTGTTTTAAGTGGGATTATACTCACTTTTGTCAAATTCTTAAATCATTTAAGCATTAGTAATGACTGAGATGGAAAGAAGTGGGGCAAATGAACAGTTGCTTGGTGACATTAATGGGGCTTTATGTAAAATTCAGAGTGTATGAGTTGTCTCCACATGGTTCTCAACATGGAGGTGGCTGAGCCAGCAGCTAGCAGCTAACTCCATAAACAGTGCTGAACAACAGCAACAGTGCTGACAGAGCAAACAGTGCTAACCACGGGGGAACCTGGGGATGTGTGCTAGGTTTCCACGACGATTCTGTCCTGATATCAGCAATAACTGCCGCATGAGCGCAGTACAATATGGCAACGATAAGTTAGCCAATGGGATACACACACACACAATAACATCCACATGTAGCCAGACCAGTTTACCACAACAAACCACAGAGAAGCTCGGATTGCAACACACACACACGGTTAGCGTGACTTTATTCTGTGCTCAGGATGCCTTAACCCCACTACATCTGATAGCAAATAAAGGTTTGCTCCTCTATTATGCCTAAAAACACACCAAGGAGTGGCAAAGTGTGGCATGTAGGCTTTTTTCCCCTTTATTTGATGGGACAGATTTAGCGTGAAAGGTGGAGAGAGAGTGGGGATGACATGCAGCGCAAGGACACAGCCTTTGTACATGGGGTGCCTGCTCTACCAGGTGAGGTAAGTGAACTTCTAATGACTAATTGCGGCCAGAAAATATGAGCAGCCAATCAGTAAACAAAGTCCTGTAACATGTTGACCTTTGTTACAAAGAATTTCTTCTCACCTGAAACATATCAACATGTCTTCTGGACACAGATCAATATAATTATTGCGACAAGCTTTACTTCGCTGCTGCTTGGTGCGTTTTCAGCGTTAATGCTCTGAATGTCACACACAAAAACACTGACATAGGCCTGAGCAATCTGAACAGTCTTCTAGCAAGACATTCAACATCTATTGATGTTAATAAGCTGGTAGTGAAATGTTGAGTGCTAGCTTGTAGGCTGTATCCCCCGAAAAGGGTGATTCATTTCATCAGTGGACATGGTGTCCTGCATGAACAGCAGCAATATTTTTGTTCAAATATTTGTTAAAATATAATATTTTTGTTATTCTGAAAGCAGAACCCGCCTTAAACTGCCACCAAGAATGTCCACATGTCCTCATACAGCCTTCGCAAGATGACTACTGACTGTGTCCTAACAGAATACAACTCATCTTGGTTCACTGCTGTCATTTTTTGTGCCTTTACGATGAAGTAATAACTAAAAGTAGAATGAGCCAGAAGCAGCTGTGCATTGATGCTAGAGGAGCGGATAGCCTCTAAATAACCATTCTTGTGCCCCACAAGCCAATCATAACAGTGGGTGTTCCTCTCCCATGCAAACCAATGATCTACGACCGCCGCACACACACGAACGCACGCGTAAAATAACAGCAGCTTTACAACAGGAGTAGTGGAATTTACAATGGAAAGCGAACGTTTGTGCTCCTGCATTTTTGCTTTCAAACACACACACACACGCACGCACACACACACACACACACACACACACACACACACACACACACACACGCACACAGAGTCATAAAGACCATCTGTTGTTGGAGGGGTCAGTAAAGTGAAAGAGCAGACACAGACGGAGGCAGTGGTGGGAATAGACAGCCGAAAGGTACAAAGACAGCTTGTCATAACAACATTTTTCTGACAGTGAAAACGTAAACTCAGAAATATGATTATTGGAGTAGTGATAGGAAGCGTTCAGGCCCTGTTGTAGCCTTTATGTCACATTTCATAACTCAACCATGACATTCATGATCCAAACCAGACGGTATCATGTTGTTTCTGAACAGTCTGGACTGAAAAACCAACAGCTAATGTGACCAATGTGAGAAACAAGGCAGAAAACACATGCGGCTAGAATCCTGTAAAGTGACCCAGCTGTAAAATGACTTTATAATCCCTGACGTCTCCAGCGTGTTGATCACAGACCAGCAGAAGTGAAGAGAAAGAAAAGAGCAGCAGCAGATTGAAGTAAAGCAGAGCCCCATCTGTGGCAGTAAACACACACACACACCTTGCGTTTCTTCTTGCGCCGATGAGGGAGGGCCTTGCTGGGCTTTGCATGGGCTTTGCTGGCCGTGGTGCCCATGCCTCAGTCAATGAAGACACACACACACACACCCTTCAAAGAATGTCCCCAGTCCTTCCTCCTTCTCTAACTGATTCCCTCCCTCTGTCACCGAGGGACAACACACACTGCCAAACACACACACTCTCTCTCGGTCCTCCTACTGAATGAGACACTCTCTGTCTACTGCTGACTCAGCCACTTCTACTCCTCCCACTCTGTACCTGTTCTCCACCCTCCTTCCATCTGTTTCTCCTCCCACTGCCTGGATACTGTATGATGCAGGAATGCAAGTTATTTCTGCACCACCTTCCTTTTATATCTTTACTCTTATCTCCCTTTCTCGTGTTCCCTACCAGTCGTTTATGCAGGAAACTGGTGTTTCTGCATTTAGCTCATGCCTCTCCTGACTTTACTCATGTCCTTTCTAACTTTCTACTTATATATTTCTCTGTCTATTTAAAGTTTACATTAAAAATAACTCACACTAAATCAGTCATATAAATTCACTCTGTGGTGAAGACAGTTTATCTTTATGGCACAAACTTAAGTTTTACAGCACTGCGGAGAAGATTACAAGCTGGGACTTCTTAAATTTAGGGCAGCACTTATCTATCTTTCCCTGTTCACCACGAAACCCTGCCAGCACTCTATAACAACATTGTCTCAACACAAACATCAACACAGAAAAGACGGCATGCTGCAGAGTAATAACAAGCTCCTTCTGATGGGAACATGATGGACAATGAATAACAATCCTCATCCCTGAAGCATGATGGTTTAGTTTCTGTCTGTGTCTATTTGTTCACCTAAATTAACTAAAAACAACAAAGTTATGTTCACTTGAAAAAGGGGATTAAAGCTAATTTTAAATGTGACCCGGTATAAGTGCAGTATCATTTATCAAAATGTCCTCAAAAACTTCTAAAAATCACTTTAACATAAGCAAATTCTCTACTGTCCATCCATATTGGTGTCAAACCAGTATCTACCAGAGGGGTGGACTTGAGTCACACAACTTGGACTCACAGTTTTGATGACTTTAGACTCAATGTGACAAAAATCTAAAAGACTTGCAACTCGACCTGGACTTTAACACCAATGACCTGTGACTTTACTTGGACTTTAAAATACTGAAAACCTTCCCCCAAGCATGAAGATTAAAAAGCATATTATTTAAAAAGCATGCCACGGATCAATTCATTTCCCGACTCAACTAATGTTAACACACATTACTCCAAGTTAGCCGATAGTTAATCCACTTTGTTTGAACCTTCCGACAGCATGAAATCAAGTCGCAGGCAAAAACCATGAGGAACTGACGTTACATTACCGAGCAGCAGTTGGAAAAATGATGCAAAGGATCATTTCATTGGATCACAAGAAACATGTGGTTGTCAACAACAAATGATTGGCAGTATGCAAAATGTGTGTCACAAATTATAGACAGAGACATAACTTCATTTGACATTTGAAGTTGTGCAAAGAACAATAAGTTGAGGCTAATATTAACATAGTGAGCTGAAGTGGCTGCGATGAGCGAATTGTGGTCCTAGTTAATAATTTTATATGCTATGAAAGTGCAGTCAGCAGCACTGCTTCTTTGTGATCAAGTTCAGTTGCAATTGTTTTAACAAATACAAATTTTTTAAAAGCATCCATGATTTTTTTTGCATGTAAAATGGCAGTTTGGTGACATTATGATTTGTGTAAGCGCTGTTCATCAGTTTATAAGTTAGTTTTATTGTTAGATGGTGTGACTTGCTACAAAACAGAGAGAAATATGTTTCAGTGTGATGTTGAAGAGGTTGTTAAATATGTGAGGTTATTTTGTTCCTGTATATTTTGACCTCTGTGAATCTTTATTGC